ATACTTCGGATTATTTTTATATTACTGGCAATTCTATCCTGAGATTGTTTTTTCAATTCACTGGTTATTTTTTTTATTTTTTCTCTAATTTTACGGTAAACTTCCAATCTGTTATCACCATATCTATAAATGGATCTCCAAATCAATCGCTTTTCCCTGATTAAATTTTTTAGCTCATTGCTCATTTTAAATTTATAATTGTTGTTATTACTTCTAACAGGAACAAACTGTAGAGTATTTGTAGTCAATTTAGCTCTGAAAAATTTCCAGAACTCTTCAGTATCCTCATTCTGACCTGTTCGATTATCAAGTTCTTGTGACAGAAGCTCTCTGAAACTTTCATAATTTCCTGAATCATAACAATACTTTTTCTTGTATTTCTCAGGTGGGCATCTGAAACCTATTACTTTGAATTCTACAATAGAATGGTCACTATTACCCAAAGGTGGATGATGCATAATGTTGCGGACCAACTCTTTAGCTGATATTACCAGATCAAGGATGTTTGCTGCCTGTCCATCTCTGAATCTTGTTGGAAAGTTAATATGTTGAATTAAGAATTTATCTTTCAGAATACTCAAAAATTCATTTTCAATTTTTTCATCACTTCCTCTGCAACTAAATGTCTCCCAATCAATTTCAGGAAAATTAAAATCACCCAACATTAGGAAATCACCATTTAATGAAAGACCCTCAATTAACAAAGATAACAAATTTTTATTGTTTTTTTCATCAGACTTTGGACTTCTGTAAATAAAAACAATATTTAAAATACTTTTGGACATCACAAGTTTAACAGAAATATGTTCTTTGAAATCTGATTTCATGGCAACCTCAGAAACAACTATTGAATTTTTATAGTACAACACCAAACCTCTTTTGTTGACTTCAGCAAAACCTGAGGAAATGATGGAGTAACCATTCATATTTATTTCAGATAAAACTCTACAATTTCTAAAGTTTTTTGGATTTACTTCATTCAAAACTATCAAATCTGGTGAAATCTCCAAGCTCTGCAAAAATATTTTTAAATCCTCAAACTTGTTAGTTAAAGAATCAACATTGGACATAATTATACTTAAATTATTGTTGTTGTTACAGCTTAAATTATTTATGATGCTAAATTTTGCCTTCTGTAAGCAATCACATGAAAGTCTCCTGGTTTGCCTTTTAACCTGAAAATCCACTTTGTGATATCTTCTTTAGCAGCAATTTCACTTTTTTTCTCTTCAAGAATTTTTTTATTACTGATTCTGTCTTCCTTAGATAGATCATGATTTATTATAACTTTACTAAAACATGTTGAGTTTCTCAGTTTAAAACAGTTTGCAAGCAACAAATTCTTGGTAGTTAAACTTGCTAGTTGTACTAAAACTGGTCTTGGTTTGGCCTCCTCTGATTTTCTACCCAACCTGGATATATCAACCACTTCTGACTCAGAATCTATATCAGCAATCTCTTTCAACAGTTTGCCAACACATACCCTGGGGTTATTTTTCTTCTCATCTAAATTATATAATATTATGTTATTTTTTTTTTTTTCCCTATCATTATTAATATCTATTTTGGTAGTTGTATCTAAAATGGATTTTTGCATCTTTTTAACATCTGTCGCAAGAGTGTCAACCTTCCCTTTTACAGCTTCTGAATATTTCATTAACACTTGTTCACTTTTTTCAACTGTTTTTTTAGTTATTTTCTCATTATCTTCCAACTGTTTTAAAGAAATTATAGATATATTTTCCATTCTTTTTCTTAAATCTGAACATTCTTCATTTTGTGCATATATGGCTTTTTCAAGAATCTCCATTTTTGACATCATGGAATGTGTAATGTCTCGCATTTCACTTTTATAAACTTCCAATGATGGTCCAAAATCCAAACTGGCAGCCTTTTCTGTTTCAACCAAAATTTGTAGCTTTTCCCTATTACATTTCATGCATTCTTCACATAACTTTAATCCCAAGTTATCATTGTCTGTACACTTCAGTTCTGAAACTGTGTCTTTCGGCTTTTTCTTTCTTTCCATCACTTGCAATCAATTAACGAGATATATTTACCACAAAAGAAACAAATAAATAATTAATTTAAATCAAGTTAAATTAAATGTTCGGTTTTACGAGTTTTACGAGCGATAATACGATAAACGTAAACAATATACTTAAAATTATATATATATATTATTATATTATTATATATTAAAATTATATATATATATAAAAACAATATATTAAAATTACGATGCTCAAACAAAATTTTTTAAAAATTATTTAAAAAAATTATTTTCAATTGTAAGTAATGGAAATTTTTACAAATACTTTTTAAAATAATATTTGGCTTAAAAAATAAGTTTTGAACATACTTTTTCGTTCGCACGGCTTATATCAGCTTTTAACAAATTTATGGTCGGCCAAAAAAAAACTTCATCTAAAAACTCTACACAAATGAAAAACAATTCCAAAACATACTAAAATAATGAAGAAGTCAATTAAATATTTGGAAACGGAAAAATATTAAAACTTATACAAGAACCAAACATTACACAAAATAATTAGCCAGCAACAATTCAAATACCCTTTTCTTAAACACTCCCAAACTGATACTCAACGTCGAATCAAATGGTAGCCATTCTCACAACCTTACACCAAATTTTAATACAAAATTAGAATGCAATAGTACAGTATGGGATAAAATGGAAGGATAAACCAGCATATGACGCAACACCGGTCGGAGATGAAGTCACTAAAAGAGAATGAAACTGAGGGTGCATATTTAAAACAATTAATTTATAGAAAAATAATAAAACTCTTAATACATGCAACTGATTAATGGACAAAATGTGGTCAAATTTTTTAAAATTATAATAATTTTTAATGAAAAAATTTTGACAAACAGTACTGACATATGACATTTATTCAAATGTCCCCACATAATAATTCCATATAAGAGATAAGGGTACATGAGAGAATATGTTTAGGTAATAACATCTTTAATATAACACCTACATTTTTGGACATTTTTTTAAATATATAAGATATGACCTTTTCAATTAAAATTATTTGAAATAATAATACTCAAGAGTTTTATACTTTCCACTCTATTTAAAGTACAATTATTATAAATTATTGAATAATTTTTGAATTAGTTACGATTTTAGGCCAAAAGAGAATAACATTAGTTTTGAATATATTAATTTTCAAATCGTTGCAAGACGTCCATCTAGACAAATGCATAAGTTTATTTTTCACGAGAGTTTCGACTTCTTGCACTGAGCTGCCTCTTGCTATTATCCTAGTATCGTCTGCATACATAACAAATTTAAGGGAAGAGCTAACATTTGCTAAATCATCAATGAATGCGTTGAATATTAGTGGACCAAGTATGGATCCTTGTGGCACTTCACTATCTATTGGTAACAAATTAAATTTAATATTTTTGTAGATTACATATTAATGATGATTATTTAGATAGCTTTGTCACCAACTACACGCTAGACTACTAATTACCTGGTGACAAAGCTTTTTTAACAAATATATGATTGATGGAATCATATATTTTAGAAATATCTATATAAGTACCCATTGTAGATAACTTTAAATCAATATTTTTCTACACATGTTGCATTACATCTAAGATTGCTAACTCGGTAGAGCAATCTTTTTTAAACCCATACTGACATGCAAACGAAAGACCACACTCATCAAAGAAGAACATTAATAGTGAAGTCTCCAGTTATATACACGATTTTATCAATTAAATTTTTACTAGTTTAATTAAATTTACTAACTGATCGATGATGAGAATTGCATCATAAATTGGCGGTTTTTATATGACAAAAACAATAATGTTAGGCCTGCGCTTTTGAGAAATTTCAATGGCTAAAGTTTCAACATCTAGACAATCAATTTTGAGATCATCTCTTAGGAAAAAATTGTTAACCGTCTTAGCTTTATATTTCATCGAGTAACCACTATCATTATCACCATCATCATTACCATTACAATTATTATCCTCGCCGTCATTATTATTTCCATTTTTGTTAATACAATTACTGGCTCGACCGCTGATTGAATTATTTTCATCTCCATCATTATCATCATCACTATTATACCCCTTTGCATCTTTACTATCAGTACCTTAGTTATTATTATTTCCGCTAGATTTACCATCACCATTATCATCATTTTAGATAGAATCATTATCATCAATTACTTCTTCTGAAACTTAAAATATGGCTATAAACATGATGTGTTTTGTCAGAGGAACCACAATATTTACCGTGGACCTTGTAATTTATTCTCTATGCAACTGTTATTACCATAGACTCAGTGAAAAACATATCGCAATATTTTTTACTGCATGCCTAGTTAATTTTGATGAATATATGCACTGATGTTTACTGCTGACAAAGTAAAAAAGTGCAGTGCAGTGCTTACCACGGACGTATTTAGTAATTTTTCAGAATTTATGCAACAGATTTTACCATGGACATTGCCTAATACATAATGTAATGATGAGATCTCTCAACTTGCATTACGATATCCAGTTGACCAAATAGAAAGATTCATATCTACTGTGTGGCGTGGACATGATGTATTTTTTATGTGTGTTTTGGTTTGTTTCAAGTCATACTTTTTCCTCTGGATTACGTGGTGAAATAAAGGAATATTGTCATTGCAATTAAAAAATTTGTTAATGTCTAATTTTAAACATTTTAAGTTGAAGAATGAAATTTTGTGGACACTTTGAATTTCACCAACCAACTGTTGACTTTTGTACTAAATCTTTATAATTAATTTAAAAATTTATAAGCTTTTAAACAAGTTATTAATAGTCCCTCATCTGCTAACAAAAAATCAAAATATAATTAATTATTGAAATAAATATTTAGAATGACAAAAACATTTTTCAATATTCTTGAAAATAGTTATCTAATATTTTAAAAATATTTTTGTAAATTCTAGGAACGTGGCCAAAGACTCAGCATGGCCTGCCAAGTACATCCGGGACAACTGCCAGCATGGTGTTGATTCGCAAAGGCAAACTGTATGTCGCTCATGTCGGGGACTCAACTGTCATGCTTGCTGAACAAGGAGATTGTGGTCTCACTTGGAAAGCAAGAGTCTTAACTACGGTTCAAATTTTGATATAAATATTAATCTCTATTGTTATTAAGTCTTAATTTTTTGATAATTTTATTAATACCAATTTTTTGTTGAGCTTGTTTACAATTATTTATGGCATTTAATCACTGAATTAATGCATAAAAATTTGTTCCCGAATAAAACTTGAAATTGGAAATTGCTATTTGATCTGAGTCACATGACAAGAAATATCAGAAGAAGTCTCTGACAACACTTGTGTCTATTTTGGAAATGAGTGATATAGTTTTTAAACATCAACTTACATTATTTTCAATTGAGTAAATATTAATTTGTTTAGGACCATAAACCTGACCTGCCAAAGGAAAGGCAACGAATAGAAATGTCTGGGGGGGAGGTGATGTTGAAGTCGGGGGTCCCGAGGGTCGTGTGGCGCCGAGAAAGATCCATCAAGTTGCCCAACAAAAAAGTTTCTTCCAAAGATTGTGTTCCATTCTTGGCTGTTGCCAGATCTTTAGGTTGGCTGCTAACTCTTAAGATTTTTCTTTTCTCAAAAACTGTTATGGTTACAAAATATGGTTATTTTGTTTTTGAGTTAGTATAGTAAAACTTGTAACAATGATTGATGACATAAATAATGATTTTGTTTCTCTTCATAATTTTATTTTTGTTGTGATCGTGACTGAAATACACCAATTAAACAGGTGATTTGTGGAGTTACAACGAAAGCACAGAAATGTACTCTGTCTCTCCCGAACCCGATGTTTCAGTCCATAACATCGATCTCTCTCAATTGAAATGCCTCATCCTCGCTTCGGATGGTCTCTGGAATGTGCTCTCTGCAACAGAAACTATCAAGATCGTCATGAAATCTCTCAATGCTACACATCAGTCTCAATTAAAAAACGACTCTTTCTCCTGGTTGAACATAGTTTCTTATGATGAGGTTATTCTTCTATTCGACAGTATTGCATGCATGGCTGAAAATATTTTTAATGTTACATTGGCTAACAGTTTTGAAGGTTCTAGGTTAATTTCTGAACCATGCACCTAAAACTTATATTTTACCAGCATGTAGAATGTGTATATATATATATATATATATATATGCTGGTAAAAGACCATAATTAATGCAGTAATTTTTGTAATCTACCAAATTTCTAGCGTTAAATAGTCTTTTATTACAATCAATCTTCGTTTTGCGTCCAGAGTCCCGGTTCCTCGAGGTAGGACAGTTCTTTGCCATCAACTTTCTGCGCCAAATTAGACGATCAGTTGTATCCATTTCATTTAAATTTAGAGCTTTCATGTCTTGCTCGATTGTTAGCAACCAGGACTTCTTTGGACGGCTTTTGGGACGTGTGCCAGGTACTTCTGCAACATCTGCAAGAGAAATTATAACACTGTTTCCAATTCGTTTGACATGACCAAACCACCGTCACCGCAGACGGTGTTGCAATAATTCGTCCTTGATATCATCTAAACCAGCACGACGCAGGATTTCGGTAGGTTTGATGTGGTCCTTCAGACTAATTCGTTGCATCCATCGGAGCATTTTCATGTCGGTTCATTGAAGTTGTTGTTCCAGTTTGGTTGTCATTGGCCATGTTTCTGCACCATATAACAGGACCGGACGTATCACAGGTTTATAAAGTCTTGATCGTAGTGGTAGTGGGATGTCACGCCGCATTAATATAGAAGCAAGGAGATGCCATTTATTCCAGACTGCACGTATGCGTGCTCGAACGGCAGCTTCAGCTGTTCCAGTACAATCCAGAACATCCCCTAGATATTGAAACGATGTGACTTTCTCTACCTTAATGGCTTCAAAAACAGTGCTATTTCGAATTGGTTGTTGTGGATTGATGCAAGCAGGACAAACAAAATTGGACACTTTAGATAAAGTACCAATTATTTTTGAACAACGTTTGTGACACCACTGGTTACACTGCTGACACTTGATTGAATTGTTACCTACACTAGCTTTACAAACTGAACAAAGCCATCGTCCAGTAGCTGTGGAATGGATGGGTTCACTAGTGTTTATTGCTTTGGTTTTGCTGATGTTGACTTTGAATCCATGATCAGCGAGTCTGGTGTTCCAATCTTCAAACATCTGTGCTGCATTCTGCTCAGACGTGGCTGTTAAAACATTATCATCAGCATATATTAGATTCCAAATGGCACCAGTGCGTATCGGTTTTGTGATTTCTTTCATCACAGTTATAAGTAAAAGTGGACTGAGAATCGAGCCTTGGTGAACTCCAACGCCGATGTCAAATGCATCTGTGTTTCCAACCGTTGTGCTGACGAGAGTCTTAGTATTCGTATACATTTCCATCACAAGTCGAACAAGATATTCTGGAATAAGTTGTCGACTTAGACTCCACCTGATTGCTTCACGGGGAACTCGATCAAATGCTTTTTCAAGGTCTATAAAAATGTGTGATAGCTGTTGATGCTTTGCGAGGTACTTCTCTTGCAGTTGCCGAAGGATGTGAATTGCATCAATTGTTGATTTCCCTGCTAGGAAACCAAATTGATAAAACAAACATAAACAATCCAAACATAAACAATGCTCACAAAATTCATGAAGCAATCATTGCTGTGAGCGTGCAAACGTTTTGCAAAATTTGATCAAATCCTGACGAATTAAAGTTGATTTTTCTAATGACGATAACTTAAATAGTTAGCAGTTTTAATTTGTTTTAGTGCTTAGTAGCATGTAAATAAAAAAAATGGGTAAAATTCTTATAATTATGAACATTAAAACCGTTTCATGCATGAAATTTTTTAATCAAATAACTTTTATAGATTTTTCTCATAAATGTTCATCGTTTTATGGCCATGCAATTTATGATTGTAAAAAAAGTCACATTCCTATTGTCTAATTTTAACTGATTGTTTCTAAATTTGTCGGTTTGTAACTTTAAAAGTTTATTATGGTTTGATTTTACATCACTGTTTATAATGAACGATAATAATTTTTTCTGACCTGATAGGTAATCGGGTCAACAAAGGACCCAGCGATGGCACTGATTGATGTGGTTATGGCGAAGTGTAGAGATCGTTACCTCAGGGCTGACAACACCAGTGTCATTGTCGTGTTGTTTGAAGAAGACAAATCAGAACATACTGACAATGATCATTTGGTCAGATCGGATTCCTGGAATATTAATATAAATAATCTTTCTAAATCAATTTCTTCAATGGCTCAGATTTGTGATGAGAATAACAAAGTTGCCATCAGCAGTTCAGATGTTAGCTCCACGTCGTCTGACTTTAATATTTCAAATGGCTTAACAAAGACTCCTGTGTTTGATTCATTATACCAGAGTTATTTTGGCAAAAATTATAAGATGTTAAATAATCATGATAATCTCAATTCTGGGGATGTTGCTCAACAGTCTAATGCAAAAGTTTTTTCTTTGCCTCAAATATCTTCATTTGTAAAGATAAAAAATTTAAATGAATCGGTAACAAGTTCTGCTTGCACTTCTCCATCATTAGTATCTTTGAAAATGGACAAGTTTCCAATCTTGGATGAACCCAGTTGTGCATCTACCAACATGAGTGATGACAATGGCAAACTTAGTGTTGACACTTTCAGTCTTTTTGAAATATGCAAATCAGCATCACAGAACGAAGATGCTTCTCTGTTTGGTGATAATATTATTCCTCAGGTTCCTGTTTGTTTTATAAATGACAAAGACACTACAGTCAGTGCCTCTTCTTCTCCTAAAGAGTCCAACTTCAAATCAGTTTCTGATGAAGTGAATTTGAGCTGTTCAAAAGTATCTATTAAGAAAGAAAGTGCACAGTTCTCATTACTCAACTCATTTTCATCAGAGAACAAAGCTTTATTCAAAATAACTTACCCGTTAGAGACTTCTATCAGGTCGTCATATACTAACCTGAAAAAAAGAAAATTCGGTACATACAATGAAACATCAGATAGTGCTGAGAATAAACATTCAGATGACAAAGTTTTTGATGACAACACAGGCCAGGAACCTGAGGTGGATAGTGCAGGTAAATTTACATTTGATTCTCCTTCCTCCTCATCAAGTGATCAAGATGCAGATGGTGATGATTTTGTGGATGAACGATTAAATAAATTCGTAAGTATTCACGAAGAGAATTCATTAAGCTCAGGTCTTAAAAGCACATTGAAGTCTGTTTCTTCAACTGTTAAACGAAAACTCTATTCTAATTATATTTCTCGACAACATAGAAAACTAAAGTTGAAATCAACACTTACCGCTGTCACACATCTAAGAGACTCTCGTGATTCGTTGTCAGATTTTGTAAAAGTTTGTAAAAGTCGATTACAGTTGAGGCGGATTCAAGTCTGTTCGTAGTCATCTGATGGTTGATAAATTTCACTTTTCAAGAATCATTCAATGCCTGTTGTATTTTGTTTTCAAAGTTGAGGAATTTACTTTATAGCAAAATTGTTTTCAATGCAATCAAAGCCTATTTTGTGTTTATAAATAATGCTTTAAAGATTGCATATGTTTTTACAGATATATCTACTTTTGTAATTTATAAATTGTCTTAGTAAATGTTGCGTAAATATTTATTTAATGTTGCCTTAAAATACAACTACAGTTTATCGTTATGTAGTTCATATAAACAATTTTTACCATTTCACCTTCATAAAACAGGTGCCTTTTAAAAGTTTTAAATTTGTTTTTAAATTATTTTAAAATTTTTTCTTTTTAGGCAATTTGTGTGATCAAAAATTCAGTTAGTTATATATCTTATGTGTATTTAAATAATTTATATTGCAAATAAATCGATTAATTTGTTAATTATTTTTATTCTTCATCGCTTTCTAACGTTCGCAGGAAGGCTCGTACAAGCAAACGGTGCACAATGTCGTAAATGGGCGTCATCTTTTACTGAGATGAAGAAAAATTTGTTATAATTTTTAGGTGTGATAAGAAACTTATGGCATTCAGAATGCTGCTGCGAGTTTGGTTACCTAGCTTGATGTCGTAACCATGTAACTGAGTGACTAAATATGTTACAAGATGGCAGTTATAACCAAGTGTTATTTGAAATCCGCTCTGAACTTCGTAAGTGATGGAGGAGGCAGAGATTTTCAGAGAAAAGGGCCAGAAAAAGCAAATGCAAGTTTAGCAAAAGAGTGTTTAATACGAGTTAAGAAGTGAGAACAAGATGATCGTAAGGGGTATACTAAGCATATTGTTACATGGGTGGCGGTTTGTTCAAATTATTGGGGGAACTCAAAAGTTGTATTTATTATTTTTTGTCAAACTATAATTTAAACTTTAATTTTTAATCAATTTAAAAGTAAAAAGTTTAAACAATTTAATGTAAATAGTGAAATTCTTTTATATATCCCGAACACAAATATCTGGTTTGAATAAAGTCATGTTGCAAACGATTTTTTTCGCAAACCATTCCGAGAAGTAAATTCTTTGTATAAGTCCTCAATTGAAAGATTGTTGCGCTTTCTTTATAGCGATGTAGTATGGCCAAATGGTTTAACCTTAGCTGACTGATTGTAGAACGTAAATAAGTTTTTGAGCGCTGAAGGACGGAAAACGATCTTTCTAATAAAATATTCTAATAAGTCGAGAAAGTTCTAGCAATTCATTCAAACCGTGTTCGTTAGTATCTTTTAAAACGTTGACAATGTCTGTGACTGAGGTAATAGATAAATTTCGTTGCTTACAAATATCGCGAAACATGTTAAAATGTAATTTGTCTTTTGACACCTCTGGATATAATTCAGCAATATAATTTAAGTGTCTGCTGTCAATTGTTTCTGCATGTAAAATTTTTGATTCCAAATCGGCAAATTTTTTGAAACCATCGGAATTGAATTTACCGTCAAGTGAAGAGATAGCGGCATCTACGATCTCTAAACACATTTTTTTTAAAAATTGCGAAGTATCAAATACATGAACTTTTTTGTTACCATCAGTAAAACGCTTCCGACGATTTCGATGCCGTGGCAAACTTGAATCGTAATATTTAATATTTTTGTATCATTAGTGGTATTTAACCAAAAATACGAAAAGGTTTCATCGGATCGGTTCTCTTAGTGTTGAAGCGATAGCATTAGACTTTCTATGAGTTTGCGTACTTTTGCATAGACAATGTTGGACATTGCAAAGCGTTCGACTTAGTTTCCAATTAATCGTATATGAGAACCAAACAGCGCAACAAAAAATAAATATGAAATGATGTCATTTTTGTGAGAAAACCAGCACATTTGGCGCCATTCATTTTTGGCAGAACTTAAATTTTCAAAAAAGTTTAGCAAAGATGTCCAGTTGTTTAAAGCGCTCTTGATGCTACATATACGCATAGTCCACCTTGTTGTGGTATTACTTTGTTGAAAAAAGTAATAACAAGCTAAACGTTTAAGAGATTCTTTGATAAAGGTTGCAAGTTTTTTTTACAAAATGGATTGCATCTCTGGCACTCTAACATCATAAAAATTGCATCTTGAAATGCCAAACTAATATTGTGGTTGTTGCAATGGACAAACATTGCAGACGGCGATATTTCTAAGTTTTTGACCTGTACTCTATTATGAATTCCAGAAACGTTAGATGCTCCGTCATAACATTGTCCTCGGCAATCTCTGATATCAAAATTGAACCTTAGTAAAACATCACGCCATCAGCCAAAATCGTTGCCCACAATTTTGAAAAAAATTATTTTATTATTTATGATAAACAAGTTAGTGGAAAAAGTAGGCGAATCGTGTTCATCCATATTCATATTCATAATATATATATATATAGTGCATATATATATGTATATATATTATTATTATTATCAAAAAATTTATCTAGCGCTAGTTAGTTAAAATTCAAAAGCGTCATCAAAAAATAAAATAACAAAAAATTTAACATAAGATTAAACCATGGATATATATAATATCCATGGATTAAACATGTCCTCATTAAAATAAAGTTAAACGTAGAAATAATTGTCTGGCTGCAAAAAACTGTAACAATTCAACACAATTACAAAAAAACACTATAGAACAATTCAAAAAATTAAGATATCACTGTAATGAAAACAAAAATGTTTTAAGTTTCTTTCTGAAGCATGTCATGGTCAACCTTGAGCGAATTATATATTCGCTTTTGCGTTATAAAAAACACATTGCATGGTATATAGCATTTTGTGTTAAGGGGTCATCATACTTAGCATCCGTGCTACTAAAATAATTTTTGCAACAGAATAATTAGCATATGCGCTGTTAAGAGTCTATTAGCATATTACGTAAATGTTCCATTATGCTATCGAGATTATATAAAATCTTTTGTCCAAATTAAGAAGTTTCAACAGCTACGAAGAGCGGTGATAGACCCGATGGCTTAATAGAACCATAGATTTCTATATAGTATATTATATAGATGTTCATGAATAGAACTAACGAATAATATGCTAATTATCCCATAGCAGCACATATGAACATATGCTAGCAGAAAATATGCTAATGACCCTTTAGCGTAATATGCTATTTACAATAGAATATGCTTTTTATAACGCATTATATATATATATATATATATATATATATATATATATATATATATATATATATATATAGACGAGTCTCGTGAGAGACGAAACGTACGTCTGGCCTATGGCGGGTAATGGTTTACCAATAATACCTCTTGCGACTGAATGGGTTCTTAAACCTTGTAACAACGAGATGTTGTTCTTACCTATTGGTCGCGACACCTCAATTTGAGTTTCTTGGTTACAATAATTGAGTTGTGTTATCTTAAACCTTATTCGGCAGGCTACTGACGAGTCTCGTGAGAGACGAAACGTACGTCTGGCCTATGGCGGGTAATGGTTTACCAATAATATATATATATGTATATATATATATATAGATACATTCTATACTGTGCTGAAAAAACATATACTCTCGGATGCAGGCTCCAGGTGCTTTGAAGCAATCGTGTTTTATAATCATTATTATTAACATTATATGACCGAAACCGAATGTCAAATTTTGGCCGAACATGCCAAACATTCTGTGCATCTCTAATGTCACGTGACTCTTACATAAAACGTTATTGGCAGACGAAATTTCTGATATATTTAGCGCAAATTTGCCCACCGTGTCTTGTAAAAGTCTAAAAAGGTAATGTACTTGGCTTAATTAAATTCAAATAAAACCAATTAAAAATAATTATTTTCCCTAACGCTAACACTAACGCCCCTAATGATGCACCACATCCTTATTCGTATTTTATGTCACATGCTGCAATGTCAATATTAAATTTTTTGCTTGGATGTGGATAATTTTTATAAATTATAACTTTTCCTAATTTGATAGTCACTTTGTATAAGCCATCCTGTAAGTTCTGTTAATCATTTAAATTCTAATTTGTGAGGAGTATATATTTTATCATTATCAAAACAGGAAATAGGTCTGCAAAAAAACTTGGGACCGATAAATATAGGACCAACCGTCTTTGGACCAATCGTCTAATTAAATGTAGGAACAACCGTCTTGAAGGACCAATCGTCCAAATAAATTTAGGACCGATCGTCTTAGGGACCAATCATCTAAATAAATATAGAACCAACCGTCCAAATAAATATAGAACCAACCGTCCAAAAAATCGGGACCAAATGTCCAAAATATAGGGACCAAACGTCTTAGGGCCAAACGTCTGTAGAACTCTGGACTTTTGGTTCCTTTGCTCCCTATATTTTTGGACCTTTGTCCTCGACTTTTTGACGGTTGGTTCTGTATTTATTTGGACGATTGGTCTTTCAAGACTTTGATTCTTAATGTATTCTGACGATTGGACCTCATTCTATTTGGACCATTGATCCAAAGACGGTCGGTCCTAAATTTATTCAAAAAATGTAATCCCAATTTATTTTAAACAATCGATCCTAAGGTTAATTGTTTAGAATTTTATTGAATTAAACGAGTCAATAACCTACGAGACTTTCAATTAAAATTGATTTTTCTCACGGAATTAAAGACAGGAATTTTAATTTTAAGGACATTTAATTTTTTAAATTTCTGTTGTGTTTAATTTATTAAAACAAACAAAATATACCGATTTGTTTTTTTTTCACGAGAGTTCTATATAAAGATGCAATCTACATTGAGCAGTGTCTATGTTTTATTCAAAGTAATATAGTCCGATCGCTTATAAATAAACTTGGGACCGATAAATATAGGACCAATCGTCTTTAGACCAATCGTCTGATTAAATGTAGTACTAACCATCTTTAGGGACCAATCGTCCAAATAAATTTAGGGCCAACCGTCTTTAGGGACCAATCATCCAAATCAATATATGACCAACCGTCTAAAAAATATAACCAAATGTCCAAAAAATAAAGACCAAACGTCTGTAGAACTCTGGACTTTTGGTTCCTAAGACATTTGGTCTCTATTTTTTTGACCTTTGGTCCCGACTTTTGGACGGTTGGTCCTAAATTTATTTGGACGATTAGTTCTTTAAGACTTTCATCCTAAATTTATTCGTGAAATTTATTCCCAATTTATTTTTAAACAATTGACCCTAAGCTTAATTGTCTAGAATTTTATTAAATTAAACGAGTCGATTACCTACGAGACTTTCAATTAAAAATGATTTGTCTCACGGAATTTAAGACAGAAATTTTAATTTTAAAGACATTTAATTTTTTAAATTTCTGTTGTGTTTAATTTATTAAAACAAACAAATCATACCGATTTGTTTTTTTAATACGAGAGTTCTATATATAGATGCAGTCAACATTGAGCTGTGTCTATAATTTATTCAAAGTAATATAGTCCGATCGCTTATAAATAAACTTGGGGCCGATAAATTGAAGACCAACCGTCTTTGAGCCAATCGTATAATTAAATGTAGGACTTGAAGGATCGATAAATATAGGACTAACCATCTTGAAGGACAAATCGTATAAATAAATTTAGGGCCAACCGTTTTTAGGGGCCAATCGTCCAAATCAATATATGACCAACCGTTCAAAAAATCGGGATCAAATGTCCAAAAATTAGGGACCAAACGTCTTAGGGGCCAAACGTCAGTAGAACTCTGGACTTTTGGTTCCTATGACGTTTGGTCCCTATTTTTAGATCTTTGGTCCCGACTTTAAGACGGTTGGTCCTATATTTATTTGGACGATTGGTTTTTCAAGATTTTGATCCTAAATATATTCGGACGATTGGACCTCAATCTAGTTGGACGATTGATCCAAAGACGGTCGGTCCTAAATTTATTCGTAAAATTCAGTCCCAATTTATTTTTATACAATTTTTTTTAAATTAAACGAATCGATTAGCTATGAGACTTTCAATTAAAAACGATTTGTCTCACGGAATTTAAGACAAGAATTTTAGTTTTAAGGACATTTAATTTTTTAAATTTCTGTTGTTGTTAATTTAACAAAACAAACAAATGATATCGATTTGTTCTTTTTCACGGGAGTTCTTTATATAGATGCAATTAACATTGAGCTGTGTCTATATTTTATTCAAAGTAATGTAGTCCGATCGCTTATAAAAAAAACTTGGTCCTGATAAATATAGGACCAACCATCTTATTAAATGTAGGACTAATCGTCTTGAAGGACCAATCGTCCAAATAAATTTAGGGCCAATCGTCTTTAGGGGCCAATTGTCCAAATCATCGGGACCAAATGTCCAAAAAATAGGAACCAAACGTCTTAGGGGCCAAACGCCTGTAGAACTGGACTCTTGGTTCCTAAGACGTTTGGTCTCTTTTTTTTATGGACCTTTGGTCCCGACTTTAGGACGGTTGGTCCTATATTTATTTGGACGAATCGTCTTTCAAGACTTTCATCCTAAATTTATTCGTAAAAGTTAGTCGCAATTTATATTTAAACATTTGACTCTAAGCTTAGTTGTATAGAATTTAATTGAATTAAACGAGTCGATTACCTACGAGACTTTCAATTGAAAACGATTTGTTTCACGGAATTTAAGACAGGAATTTTAATTTTAAGGACATTTACTTTTTTAAATTTCTGTTGTGTTTAATTTATTAAAACAAACAAATTATACCGATTTGTTTTTTCACGAGAGTTCTGTATATAGATGCAATCAAAATTGAGCTGTGTCTATATTTTTTACAAAGTAATGCAGTCCGATCGCTTATAAATAAACTTGGGACCGATAAATATAAGACCAACGTCTTTGGGCCAATCGTCTAATTAAATGTAGGACTAATCGTCTTGAAGGACCAATCGTCCAAATAAATTTAGGGCTAACAGTCTTTACGGACCAATCGTCCAAAAAATCGGGACCAAATGTCCAAAAAATAGAGACCAAACGTCTTAGGGACCAAACTTTTTTAAATTTCTGTTGTGTTTAATTTAACAAAACAAACAAATGATATCGATTTGTTCTTTTTCACGAGAGTTCTATATATAGATGCAATTAACATTGAGCTGTGTCTATATTTTATTCAAAGTAATATAGTCCGATCGCTTATAAATAAACTTGGGACCGATAAATATAGGACCAACCGTCTTTTTAAATGTAGGACCAACCGTCCTGAAGGACCAATCGTCCAAATAAATTTAGGGCCGACCGTCTTTAGGGACCAATCGTCCAAATCAATATATGACCGTCCAAATAAATAAACTTCTAAAAAATCGGGACCAAATTTCCCAAAAAATAGGGACCAAATGTCTGTAGACTAGTTATTTTACCTTTTATCTAGTATTGGTTAGCCTTATCTATCCATTTGTAACCTGAACGACAATGATAGAAATGATTACTCATTTATTTTCAATGTTTTTTATTTGTTTTTCTATTTGTCATTGTGTTCAGTTGTAATTAATTTTATTTTGTTTTTCCCACTAAGTAAGTGGTCCGTTGTAACCCTCTGGTCAGTTGAGTAAATAAATGAAATTGAAAAATTAATATTTGATTAAGACTGTCAGAAATGCAATTATTGAGGAAAATCACATCATGTACCGTGTTAGTTAGTTTCTTGTTTAATTTTTCGATTTTTCTAACAGTAGATCGTTAATCATCGTCAAATTCCTTGAGTTCAAAACCAAAATTTTTATTTATTTTAAGCATGATAGAACGGAAAAGCTTTTTTGGTATTCCTATACCATCTTCGATGTTCGAATTGATAATTTGTGTTTGTAGCCAAATGCACATGTATATATATATATATATATATATATATATATATATATATATATATATATATATATATATATATACCCTGTCTCTACAATGTTATTTCTTTGTTTAAAATGAATTATTTCTTTGTTTATTTAATTTTACGACAATAATTTTTTTATTATTCTTTGAAAAATCAGGATGTGAAGGACGCAGAAACTGTTACAGTTGCAAGGCAGTAGTATAAAATTAAACTAATAAGTAAATAAATAAATAAAAAACGGAGAAAGAAAAATATTTAAACATCGATAGTAAAATAAAATAGAATCAAATAAATAATAAATAATAAAAAAATAAATTGACAATAAAATAAAGACCCATCTGTTTTCAAAATTTATTGAGGAGCGCTGTTGAACATCGCGAAAATAGTGCTTTATAAGCTAATTGATTGATTTGATTGATTGATTGAACGGCATAAAAAGGCAAATTAATTAGGTAATTTGTTAATAGACTAGATGATGACTTAGTGAGTAAGTGAGGTGATCGATAAATAAAAACTAGTTGTGTGAATGATAAAGTATTATTGAGTGTTAATATGTTTGAGGTGTCTTGTGATGAAGATCTTTTCCTGATATGTAAATTGGATGGCGACTTGATAGTTATGCTTGCGTTGACGAAGGTTGTGTGTTGTTGTTTTAATTTGTGGTAGTAGAGGATGTGTGACGTGGATGTTGTTATTTTCTATTCTCTTGAACAGTCTTGAATCGAGTGTGTTGAATATCTGAGTGACGGTAAGATATGATGCAGTTATAAATAGCTTAGGGCGAATTAGTTTTTTGATGAGATATTGTAGCTTGCTGAATTTGTTGTTGTGTAGCAGAACCCGACCAGGAGGGAGCTGCATATTTGATGCGTGAGATTATGAATGATTCAGTGATGTCGAATAATTTGATGCCACTGAGACCATATGAGCGAAGTGTTTTGAGTGCGTGAAATGTTTGAAAGCCTTTTGTGATTATGTGATTGATAAGAGGTGCTATATTAAGTGTGGAGGTGAATGTGATGCCTAATATTTTTAATTGGTTTGTGCGAGTGATTGATGAGTGTTCTTGGAGGTAATGTTATTTTCTTATGGCTATTGTGAATGATGAGTTCGAATGATTTATTGAGATTAAGTGACGATAAATAAATAAATATATACGATAAAAAAATAAAATTAAATAGAATAAAAGCTTGCAGCTCATTGTCTAGGACAAATGCAGAAAGATACAATATTTGAATGGTCATAGATTGTTTCTACCACAGTAAATGGCATAAGTAGATTTAATGACGGAGTTAATTAATTTGTCAGTAAATAAAACAGGCCTAGAAACTTGGAACAATGATAAACTATATTTATAATAATAATAATAATACATCATGTCATTAGCCTATAAACTGATAATGCAAAGATTATTGAAAGTAACGTCAAAGTGTCATACACTAAAGACTCTGAAAATTGGGATTTACCACAGAGAAACATCTTCCTTAGTAATGCAGAATAACACAAACAAATAACCAGTCTCTGAGAGGAAAAGTAGTCACCTGACCTATTCATTTAAATGCAATATTGGCGATTGTTTCCACCAAAACTCTGAATACATCGGGAAAACTTTAACAACGCTGACGAGACGACTAGCCATGCACAAACAACAAGAAACGGTCAAAGGTTACCTAATAGGATATTACAAAAAATTCTAGACAATAAAACAAAAGTGATTTATTTCAACAATGATCGTTATTAATTGAAAATTTTAGAATCTTTATTTGTCGGTAAATTCAAACAAGCAATAAGTGTTTAACAAAATAGCAACAATATGCTGCCATAAAGAAATACACGATCAACTTTAATACCACCAATAACTGAACTGTGAACAGGGACAACCATGCAAGCAATGTTGCATTCTGACCGTTTAAACTACTCTGATGAGGCCAGTTTAGGCCAAAAATAATCTTATTCCGTTGTATGAAAATTTTTTCAAAAAGTTAAAAAGCTTCTTTTTAATTTAAAAAACTAAAAAACGAAAATAAACTTTTGGTTTAGAAAAATTGAAAAACTGAACTACGAGTTAAACCACGCCGAAAAGCCGTTGATTATTATTAATTTTATATTTATTTTAAATATACGTTATAATTATATATTATAAATGTATTTTATAAGTATTATATATTTATTTCAACGCAGTCTAAGCATATATATGTATAGACATTGTTTATATTATTATCTATATATAAAATACATACATTCATATCTATATATAAAATACATACATTCATGCTGCACATGCAAGTATAGTGGGCGTTGTGTATCAATTAGCATCATAAGATTGCTATGTTGAAGTTTCGCGTATTTGAAGAAGTTAACTTTTGTAGAAGAACGCCTCACACGCCTGGTTGGCTTTCAAGGTTTTTATTGGATTATTTCAATCCATTTTATTTTTGGTTTTAAATGGTCAAAGTTCATTGTTGTCGTATTGTACTGCTGAATTTGTTGTACAACGCTGCTCATGAGTTGACTTCAGTTCAGAAGTGATAAAGTTGTGGTTGTTGTAAACGCGTTCTGAATGAATGTTATTAAGTCGCACCTGCAATTATTCTTTTAATCTAATCACTATTTATCAAATATTATTTGTAATGTTTTTATCATTGATTTAATGTTAGGACAATTATATTGATAATGTAATTATGTATTTTTATGGTAAATTAGTCATTCTGAGCAAGACTTAGCTTTTAACAATTTTACACACACAAGTGCGCCTACATGCACACACGCGCGCGCACACACACACACACACATATAATACATATATTGTGTATTTTAAAATTAACCCCGCTTTCAAGCTTTAAATAATCGAAAATATTTCGGGTCAACTTTGACTGTATGAACTTTAATAATTTGTTTTCTGAAGGTGAATTTGTTTGCAACAAAGAAACTTCATATGATCAGCATTAGAGGCATCACAAACTGCTCAGCATGAGTTCGAAGCAGGTGACTGTCAGTCTTCCAGGTGGACTCCCACTGGGATTCAGACTGACTGCCCTACCCCAAGATGAACACATCTTCGCCATTTCTAAAGTATTTGTGGATTCTCATATTTTTCTACCTTATGTTAAAGTGTGGCAAAGTGAGCGGAACCGATCAAAATTAAATAATTTTCTATAATTCAAAAACAACTTTTAATTTTTTCCTGCAAGTTTGTTATTTATTAAAACCGGTGAAACGTTAGAAAAAATAAAATGTTCTAAACAGCAAGCAGACATTTAGGTTCATTTGATGCACACTTTAATAATAACATATACACTTAATAATGATTACGCCAAGATACATTACTCCAGCACGTTGCATAATAAAACCGTAACATTTAGAATAATTTTTGAAGAGCGTAGTAAGTAGATGCAGGAACGTAAAGCATTCGTGGAGATTAATTTAATAAGCATCCATCCATCCATCCATCCATCCATCCATCCATCCATCCATCCATCCATCCATCCATCCATCCATCCATCCATCCATCCATCCATCCATCCATCCATCCATCCATCCATCCATCCATCCATCCATCCATCCATCCATCCATCCATCCATCCATCCATCCATCCATCCATCCATCCATCCATCCATCCCTCCATCCATCCATCCATCCATCCATCCATCCATCCATCCATCCATCCATCCATCCATCCATCCATCCATCCGACAAACAGCACGTACAAATCAACGCAAGCAGCCGGTTGCAATGTTTTCTTTCTTATTCATTCACCAGCTGTATGCATATAAATATATATATATATATATACATATATATATATATTATATATATATATATATATATATATAGTCTATTGTACATGTGTGTATGTTTGATTTCTTCATACGTCTAATTGCACACATAAGTTTATTAGTTTATATATTCTATTAAGTTTTCAAGTCAAAAAATTTAAACATCTTGAAATTCAACAAAATTTTATTTTATGTCACAAGAACACAAGCAACACATAATATTTAACATTTTAATTATAACAACACTCGCATCTCAAGTACTTAAATATGCAGCAACGTCGTCTGTACCTACGATCGCACACGAGCAAACCATGAGAACATGGTGCTAAAATATTTTCTATTTATTTTCAATTGTCTGCAAGATAACCTTCGTTGTTGGGAACTATCATGAATAAACTAAACATACTTTACACGAAGAACTTGCTAATTATCGGATTCTCTTCTTTCTTCTTCATGTTGAAAAGTCTATAAATCAAAATGTACATGAACAAACAGTTGTTTGAACTCATTGGGAACGTTATTGAAAATGAAAGTTACAAAAAGGCACAGTCGAAAATTTGCCTTGGAGGAGGGCTATTTAAAATTTAAAACCATTCAATAAAACTTGTAAGGATTGCAGCTTGAAATTTTTTTGGCGTCTGAAGGTTCGCTCATTCCACAATGTGGAAGTTTAATAAAACGCGTGAAATAATCGTTTTATAAATTCTAATAGTGAATTTTTTAGGGAAATAGTTCAATTTTGCTTAGCGGCTACGGTTGCATGTTTCGTGGGTGCTTCCATTACCTTTTTCGTCGTTAACTTTCCAATAACAGCATTGAAAAATTTTTATGTTAGGGCTATAAAATGCAATGCTGTATTTTAAAAAAATCAACAATGTTATATGGTGGTTGTACCAAAAAATTGAAGTTAACATTACTAAAGGACCATCGCTCGGAACTATTAGAATACGGAAATAAATTGTTCTAAAATACACCTCTTATATAATAAAATAAATGAATCAAGTTTGCTAAGTTATATTTTTCGACCCAATTGAAGATACGTGAGCACAGCAAAGCGGACAAAGCAGGTTTAGTGGAAGGAGATGTGATCCTGTGCGTGAACAACATCTGCTGCGAAGGACTCACTCACTTCATGGTCACCGCACTCACAGACCTCAGCGACATGCTCTGTCTGCTCGTACTCAGGTTTCATTATTTCCAGCATTTTATCCACCTCTTTGTATGCATTATATTGCTTAACAATGTGCTTTATGTTCAACATAGATAATTTTTTTAAAGTCTGTACTCCATCAGGAACATAGTGAATTAAAAGGTAGCTACCAAAAAAGAATTTAATAACACGTTCTGCTAATTGACATCCGATTGTTTTGAGTTAGGTAGATGGGTTAAAAATGATTAAAAATAATTTACTAAAAGTTAAAAAATTAAATAATAAATTTAATCGAATGATAAAATATAATGATGAAAGCTTGACACGCCGCGCTCTACCTCGAATATATATTATTAAACATGATTTTTATATTGCTAATCGAATGATCAATGAAATTGAATTTTTAAAAAAGATATATATATACATTAATTTTTAACATGAAGCTCACAAACTGAGCTTACAAGAAGATCTGAAAACTTGAGTGTAAATTATTGTAAATGATGACTGTTGTGTGAAAAATATTCAATAAAAACTTGCAATAACGTTAAACAACGAATATATTATTGATAGAAATCGATATTTATTTTTTTAGCCGATTCTATCGTTGAAACAAATTACTGTTTGTTAGTTTATTTAAGAAATAAAGCAAATATATATTAAAAATACAAAATTTTAAATTAAAACCAGTTCAACTTTGAAAAAGGATTGAAGAATTGCAAAATTTTTAGTACAGCTTCAAAAATATTTAAAAAGTGCTTCAGTTTACTCTTTTAGATCATAGGAAATTGTTGAGGACATCTAGAGCAGTTGCACATTAGGTAAGATTAACCATAATAAACTAGAACAAAATTAAATCATGAAAGACGAAAATTTAGATGTCATATTCAGAAAAATTTGAATATAATTATATTTGGAATGTATTGATAGTTTAAGTTGGCTTAACTCTCAAGAAGAATGATGTAATAATGTGCAGATATGGAAACACTACGGAGCATTCACGTGTTGCTCAGTTCCAGCCAGGTTTGATTTACACCTCAGTTGAGCACCTAATAAAAAATTTTGACACTAAAATAAGAACTTTATAAAAGACGCAAGTCCATTTCGGTGAATGCGGATATGCTACACTAGTTTGATGCTGTATCTCTGAGCTGAAGGGATAAAGACTCAAATTTATTTTTTTATTCATTAATAAAGTAAGCTTTTTGTAAATGTTCATTTAGTGAAAAGCATTGCTGTTACTGAATATTTTTTGTTTGTTGTTTTGGTGTAAAATTTTTTCAAATTCAAGAAAAATAACTTTTTTTTAACAATTTGATCTTATATTTTTAAAATTATAATATTAGCTGATATAAATTAGTACGATGATCTCACAAGATTGAGCAAAATTAAAATATGAATATTAGTTATTTTAACATTAATACTGATAATCTTCTAAATTATTGACCAGAAATATGCAAAGTGTATCGGAGGTCAAAGCATTGTTTGATAACATGGGACAGTCAGTTAGAAGATTGAATGCAAAAGAAATTTCAGAACTTTCTGGAAATCCAAATTTAGTGGTAACTCGCAGGCAGTCTACTGGATCGATTCAGCACCTTCCAAAAAACCAGCCTGTGAAACCACACCAAGTTAAACTGTTTGGTTCCCATAAATTTATTCAGACAAATCTAAATTCCCCAACCAAGACTGTCAGCTCTTTCTACGATAGATCACTTTCTTCAGACTGCGATGAAAATAAAATAAAAGAAATTACCGCTAATTCGCCAGTGTCATCCACGCCATGTAGAAAAAGTAAAAGAAATCCCAAAACAGAAAGCAGCACTGAAAGAAGACACATTATACCTACAAGGCTGAAAAATTTATCGATTTCAAATGAAATTGAGGACAAAGAGTTTGAAGAAGAACTTAGACGTGAAAATAATTTGAAGAAATTTGAAGAAACTCAAAAATCATTTTTGAAAGAAATTGGTAATAAAAGACAACAATTTAAAAATAATCCATTTATAACAGAAGCGCCACTTAATGAAACAAATTTAGAAGAAAATCGCACAACAGATGTCGATTCTATATTCCGAGGTTTTGTTCCACCTGTTTTTAGAAAAAGATGCATGTCTGAGCAACCTCGGTATAAATCAAACTTGCTATTTAATTTAACGACGGACGATTTTAAACAGAAACAAATTGTTGTTCCAAAAGTAGCAGCCAAAGTTAGCGTAAGGAGATTTTCATTAACTGTTCCAGGCCAGCAAATAATTAACCCGAGATCAAATACCGTACAATTGAAATCAAGCGGTTTTCAATTACAATCTCCCCTAAAAACTGCTCAATCACAAATTTCTCGGTCATCTCTCAAGACAAATAGTCAAAGTACACCAGTACACACAAATCACCAGCAATCGATTAATGAACCCTCAAATCAAAATACTGGTAGCAAATCAAGCGAGCAGGTGGGCTTAAGGCAGCAGATACAAATAAAACCTTCAATCCAAGCATTCAACAAAAATGTCAATGATATTAAAAATTTTCAAAAAAGTTCAAAGTTATTCATTAGATCAAATTCTATTTGTGGTAGTTTGACGAATAGCGCCAATATAACAAGGACCGCCAATATCAATGACAATCGTTGTTCATACGGCAAACAAGCCAGCCAAAAAATATCAATCCAAACTAAATCTAAAAATGAAAATATTTCTATATCCTCTTCCGACATAAGACCACAATCGACTTCTGCTTCCATTCATTCAACAATTTCTACATCAAAAACGCAGTTGACTGAAGAAGGACAAATGCCAACATCTGACTCAAACTCAAAAGCCCTACCTCAGATCAATAATTTAACGTCCACTGCCGGAATTTCTTCAACAAATTTAGCTCATTCAGTGTCGGAAATTTTAATTACTAAACCAGCAATTAAAATTTCGTCAACGAGCGCCGATGCATTTGTTTCCATAGTCCCGACATTATTGTCATCAACGTTGCCAGCGACATCAACAAAAATGACAAACAATAAAGTTTCGGCCAACTCGTTTGGAAGGGCGTTGACTTCTAAAACACCACATATTTCTTCGTCATCCATACAACAAAAAATTAATCCCAATCAGAGGACTAGATCGAACAGTTTGAGTGTTGTTGCTTCAGCCCGGTCAAAATTCGATAGCAACATCGATAACTATAAAAAATCTGATAAAATTATTTCTAAATTTGCAGCAAACTTTGCAAATCAAGTCGACACGTGGCAAAACGCTCCAAAACAATCTGAAAAATTACAAGCATTAAATGTGTCCGTTGTAACCTCATCATCGTCTATAAACACAACATCTTTAGTTTCTTCATCTTCATTCATTTCCTCCTCTTCTTCCTCCTCTTCATCATTGTCATCATCTAATAACATACAATCATCATTATCACCATCATCTCATTATACATCATTAACAGCATCTTCTTCATTTTCAGCATCGATAGTGCCCATATCAAGTTATAACATAAGATCAGGAGGCACCATCGTTAATAATAAAAAAAAATATAATAACACTGATGATGTTGATAACTTTAATAACAGCATCAATGACAAGTTGATGAGCAACACAACTTCAAAAATCAAAATACTTACAGCTGGAAGAAAACTCTCGGTGCCTGATTTGAGGACAGTGGAAAATATGAAACAAAAAGTTACTATCAATAGTAAATCATTTTCAAAAAATATTCCAAATGTTAACATTGAACCAAAAGCTACAAACAGCAACCATAATTACAAATGCAGCGATACATTGTCTTTAAGTAAGTTGTGCTTTGTTTTCAATTCAAATTTTTATTAAAATTACATAAATTTACTAACAGGATCAAATCAAAATGAAGACTTTCGACAACAAAATCTCTTTCGTTCATCTAGTGGAAATGAAAAAGCTGATGATAAGTTAAATTCATGTGAATCACTAGAAGGTTTGAAAGGCTTAGCTTTTACAAATTCAAATTCTGCTATATCAGCAACATCTCAAGCCAACCATCAAAATGACAGCACTGATCAGCATAGATCTTTAAGTGATAGGCAACCACAGTCAGTGCTCACCCCTGTTTACCAGGAACAAAAGATGTTTCAAACAAGCGGATCATCTTATCCCCCAATGTATTCTTTCTATCAACAAACACATTTAACTCATCAACCACATTCTATTCCACAGCAATGTTCAACAAGACAACAACATGCAAATCAACAACGACAACAATATTCAGGCCATCAACAACAGTTGCCTCCGCAGCATTATTCTACTCAGCAACAAAACTTGTTGCCTAATTATCTTTTATCGCAACAACATTTCAATCAAGAACAAAATCTGTTTTCACAACATAATTTATGTCAACAAAAGCGCACATCACCACAACAACATTTCACTTCATCCCCACTTTTGTCTCCGCAACAACAACAACATCAACAACAACAACATCCACAACAACAACAACATTTTTCTTCATCACCACTTTTGTCTCCACAGCAACAACAACAACAACAACACCAACAACAACAACAACAACAACAACAGCAACAACAAGCAACATCAACAACAACATCCACAACAACAACAACATTTCTC